GCGTTCTTCCTTTTCCTCCTTATTTACTTAAATTTCATTTGAAAATTGTGTACGTGAGTGTGTGCTGGATGTGTGTTCATTCGTGGGATGAATTTCTTAAATGAAAATTCTCATGTGAAATGCTGAAAGGAAGCAATGATGAGCATCAATCAACAAACTCATATGGCATTTCTTCTTGTGCAACATTTTCTACCTGCTTGCCTTTAAGCTGTATCAATTGAAACTCAATTTTTGAAAGTGAAAACTTTTTGGATACGCCAAAAATTATTGACAAGTAAATTACTGAATTGCATCACAATCTGTGGCTGTTTCTTCCGGTACAATGTTGTATTATTCACATAATGGAGGTCATTGTTGCAACTGCTGACTTTATGATGTCCAAAATAATGATCATTAAGCTGCTGTGGATGTTCTGCAGAATATCACATTTCAAAATAAACAACAGAACATCCTCAATATGCCGCAAGACTCTCTCACAAGAGAACTGCACACATGGAAACAATTTTTAAATTCATTGAGTTTCTCTCATTCTGCATTTCTGTTGTCTTTACTTCTCTCATTCTTCTTCACTGTTTACTTTTCTGCTCACTACATATTCAGTCTTGACTTGTTGCTTCTATGATCGAGAGCGCTTACAGTCTTAGGATATTTTTTTTAATTTTTTTGGACATTCGGTGTGGATTTTGCATAATTATTCGCGGCTTCATGTGAAAAGTGATAAGAAAATGTTGGATGTGACTCAATATGACAAATACTAGACTAAACGCACTTCAATGGTATTTAAAATAAATTAATTGCAAATTGCTTGAATTGCTTGTGAAGAAGGAATAAAAATTAATGTCATTTTCATAGTTCCAATTGTGATTTACTGTTAGGCATTCAAAATTGGTCACTCATATGTTGAATGCATTTGAATAGCCACACTGCTTTAGTATTAAGCTTCAAATTATTCCATTTATAGAAATTCTTCCGACTTAAATTGAAGTGGATTGAAGGAAAACAAAGAAGAAAGTTTGTGGACGGAAAATATAAAAAATGTCAAATCATAAATTTTGATTCTTCATGCTGATGTTATGTCTAATTTAAGATACATTCTTATTTACACAATTTAACGGGTCTTCAACGACCATCATCAGCATAAAACTTCGATTTCCATCATAAGTCACACTTTCTGCTTATTTGCTTTATTTCTTCAACTTCAGACTTCTTCATCGTCAACGATTATTGCTTATTAAATGAAAATTGACAGCAAATATTTGTATCGTGTGCTGTTTTACGAAAATTGAGCTTGCAAACTTTTCAATTTTTTTTTTTTGTTATTGCTGTCGTCGAGCATGTCTGAAAAGTTTTCATTTTCCTTTCTCAAATGCTAAATGTAATCGAACGAATTTTTGTCACTACGCTTCATATTAAATTTATTTACAATGTGCTCAAATTCATAAAAATGAATTGTTATGCTTGCAATCATCACAATTGTCAATTGTGCTTCTGTCAACAATTTATGAATTGAGCATGACAAGTTTTAATGATGAAGGTTTTCACAAGTGTCGTTGATCGACGAAAATTCACAGAAAAAGTGAAAAACTGCATGCACCTCCTCATGGCATGCATCAATGCAATTTTCTTCAATTTAGAGATTGAAAAACCTTGAACAACTAATTATTGAAGCTGAAGATGCAATAAAGATTTATTAATTTAATGAACAACAAAATTTCACAGAACTTCCATTGAGTTGTGAGAAGAGCTTCGAATGCATTCGGACATGATTTTCATGCTTTCTTCACATAATTCAATTAGTTTGCATACAATTAATTGACTAAGCAACAAGCATACACATGAATATGAATTTATGGAATTCAATAAAGATTTATAGACTCGATAGAATGAAATTCCCATGTTGCACTTAATTCTGTGCTGTTGTGGCTGTGGATTTATATTGTGAGAATAAAAGTGATAAGAGAAATGAAAGAAAAGTTGATGGAATAAGACTAAGGAATATGACTATAATGAACTACCATAAAAATAATCATCGGAATGCGCCGAGAATAAATTCAATCTTGGAGCCAACGACGGCTAAATATTTATTAGATTTCCTCTACTACACACGTGAAGATGAGCAATTCAAATTTTATAAAAAAGTAAGTCAATCGTCTCTTTGTTGCAAGGTTTATACAGCAAGTGTCAGTGAACATTAAATTCAATATCAACGCAGTCATTATGTGCCTCTAATTCTAGATATGATGTAATGATGGAAGTTTTTTATAATTTATAATGCCTGCAAAGATTCTCATCATCAAATTTCAGCGATAAGAGATGAGAAATGAGAAACAAAGTATCTAATGCTATCGAATGCCTAAAAGAAATGCCTGCGGTGGATAATGAGACATAAGACATGAGAATCTAAGAATCTCAAAAGAAAAGAACCTTGTTCCGCCCATTTTGGAATCATCATCACGCTACGTTCAAGACGAAAATATTCTTAATGACTAGTCGCACTCACGAGCATCATTCATTGTCCAAGCACAAGGCATGCAAATTAAAGAGCGCTGCGGAGAGTCCAAGCATGATTTTACTAATTTTTAACGCTCATTTCACTTCCATTTGTCATGTCTAATTTTATGTTGTTTTATGCTCACTTCTCATAAATATTCATACAGCAATTATCGCAATTATTTGTCAAAACAAAAGCAGTGGCAATTTATGGATGTAAGGCAGCTGAACAGTTTTTAACCTTGGCTGCAATTTCTTCTCTTCTTGCTTGCTCTTCCTGCATTCCAAAATTTCTGCTTGATTGCTCATGAAAAAAGAACAGCAGCTGAAAAAATTAAATCATTGAACTGATTGCCATTCATCATAAATTGCCAATCGCGAATTACTTAATGTCTGTACTCATTGAGCTTCTGAATAGCTTTCCGATGTGCAATTGAGTTTTTACAATAATTTAAGTAAGGCAAAGAATCGCAGCAATAAATTCCATAAATTCTCAATTTCACTTATGTACTTCAAATTGGCGCTCGGCGCTGCTTCATCATTCAAGGCTTTTCTTGCAATTTATGAAACTTTTTTTACAACTTTCTGTGCATGCATTGAATCAAATAAACTTGAAATAGGTGTGACTTAACGTCAAATAACCTCGTTCACTTTAATAATTGATTTAAAGCCTTAATGAAGTGCTTAGACTGTCCACCTACAAAATACAAAAACAAATCATTTTTTGATGATGCGGAATTAAAACGACGATAATTGTTTGGTCAAAAATGGCAGTGCTTCCATGTTGTCTGTCTTAGTGTCGATAACATTTGACTTTTAATTTTTCGCATTCAGCTACTTGAGACTCGTTTTGTTATTTTAAGACGTTCCAAAAATTATTTTTAAATCTTTTCGTAATCACCCAAATAGAACGGTCATCAACATTATTCCTCATCTTATTTACATTACTCACAGCATAGTATAGAAGAGTGTAGGAAGACAATAGTCTGAAGCAGCAGCAACAAGCAACAATTGAATAAAATAATTCGTTATCTCAAGCTTTATTAGACGAGATCTTGGACAAAAGAAGAAAAAGAAGAAGATGAGAAGAATAGAAATGGATTATGATCATAGCTGCATGCTCGATACTTATTTTCCTTAAGAATTCAATTTAATTCAAATTCCACATCCATAAACTCAACATCTCAATTTCAATTTAATTCTTGTTGCTCATCTTTTTCATTTCATCCAATTTCTTTGTCCACATAGAACATGCTGCGATTCCAGTAATCTATAAAGACATCTCAACTGCTCATTTACTTTCCATTCTTTCAATTCTTCACTTAATGATCAAGAAATCAAGGGATGGTAATTATTTATGGACCTTATTGTTTTGTTTTGAAAGAATTTGGGATGCGTGACAATTTGTAGAATATCCAGTAAAGCTGATTTGTATCTAAACCATGATATATTTAAAAATTAATAGATTGTCAACGCTTGATTGAAAACAAAAGGGAATCACAATATTCTATAAAGTTTGTGCTGTTGTTCTTGGTTGTCTGATTATGTGATAATAAAATGGAAAGCGTAATGAAAAAGAAAAGAAATAATTCCAATTCTTAAAGACAAGAACTAAGCTTTGTGTCTATGAAAATGTGAGAAATTTCATTCAGAAAGGTAGAAAGAAGCAAGCAGCAGTAAGTTTATGTCTCATGAAATTCAATAATGTTTAGTAGATTCCTTTCTCTTGCGAGTCTTGTGAGTCTTTATTAAAGCAGCACAATTGAAGATTCTCATGACATAATTTAGACTTCTTTTATATTTCATAAGAATAAGAAGCCTCGTACTAGTTGTTGCTGTATGCTGTGTGTAGACCTGTTAAGATTAGATTCTTTAACTGTATTTGACTCTTTGCTATTTACAGCCATCAATTTTATTAGAATCGTTCCTTTCTATTCCGTAAATGCAATTTGCACTGTTCCATTAGAAAAAGAAGATGTAAATGGCATCAAATGGACATTCTGTATTTATTGGATTAAACAACGCACAGTTTAGAACTGTATTTTTATTATCACTTCCGTGTTTTTTTGAAGAAATGTTTAAAAACTTTAAATGTTATGCTGCATATAAGACAGCTTTATTGAAATTTGATTCTTAACCGCTGAGATTAAATTTCCATTTTTGTAGCTCGCATAAATGAACAAAACAAAGTTATGTAAATCATAAAAATATTATTACGCAGCATAAAAGGCATTGAAATCCAGAATGTGCCTAAAGTGAAACTTGATGCTTCGAACTACAAAAATTATCAATCTGTGCATCATCATCCATCCATTCTGTTTTATTGCCATAATTATAAATGTTTGCTAATCTTTAGTAACTTCATCTCAGAATTGCAATTTGCAACTATACGAAGTAACTAGAGAGTCTGTGAGGGAAGCAAAAGTTGCGTGCTTAAAGTTGCCTTTTCTGAACCTGAGTCAATATCCATTTAATAATAATTTTAATTCTATTTCTTCTTCTATTTATAGTCACGATGCTCAATCTTTCGAGGAACAATCTTGTGCCTGTGTATGAATCTGACCTACGCTAATATTGTACGATTTCCACGCGAATTGGAGCGACACGGTGTTGCATTTTTAGTGCCATATTTAATCATAATGTTCATCATCGGTGTGCCAATCGTTTTACTTGAGATGGCTTTAGGTCAATTTCTTGGACAAGGAGCTTCTCACAGCTGGAAATCGTCGCCATTTTTAAAAGGAGCTTCAATTATTGGACGAATAGGTGCTTGGATCGGATGTATTTGGATATCAATGCACATGTCACTTTCACTACTTTACATTGGTCAAATTGCATTCTCAGGTGTGCCATTCCGTCAGTGTCCCTCAACAGTTGAAGTAAGTCACTTCCTTAAACCTTCTCTATAGACATTTTCTTATTTCATTGTTCTTCTTTAGTTGTCAGGTACACATTATGCAGAGCGAGGAATTTTTGGACAATTATGTCTACAAAAAACATTTCTTCGATCAATTCGAGAATCTTCCTTGAATTTTGGCCTCCTTGCTATTGGACTAGTTTTCTTGTGGGTCATTATTATGATGTGGTAAGTTGTTATACTATTCGAATAGTGTCAATCCTTATATAATAAATTATTATTAATCATGTACAGCACACACAGTGGTCGAGTGAATCGTCGATCGATAATAATGTTTGGATTAGGTACATTGGGACTTTTATTATTCCAACTTGGATGGCAAATAAAGAACACAATTGAGGCAGATAAATTGGATCCAGAATTTTGGCCAATTAATTATAGCATTCTAGCACAAAGTTCAACATGGTTTTATGCTTTAATTCAAGTCATTCTATCAACACAAATTGGCATCGGAGCAATTCCAGTGATGACAGGAAAATTTCTGTATAAAGGCGATGCAATTCGAATGTGTACAGTCTACATGTGCTTTAATTTCCTTACTACAATGCTTGCAACTGCTTATTACTTGACACCGTATAAACAAAACAATAAAATCGAAGATATTCCACCTTATCCAGATCTTACAGCAATTACATCAGTCTATGATCGTACATTTAATGAACCACACAGCACATATTTAAGAAAAGTCATTCCTAGTCTTGCTTACTTGATGATCATCTTTAGTGGAATTATTTCCATTTCAATTGCAATATACACATCATCGAGACTATTGAAACGTCATCCGAACTATATTATGTGCCTTGCTGCATTATGTCTTGCAGTTGGATTCCTTCTATGTCCAAACTTTATACCTAGCAGATATCTCGACATGAGATGGACTGGATTAGTTATTGTTTGTGCATTAGTCTTTGATATTATTTCAATAACATGGATTTATGGCATAAAGGACTTATCAATAGACCTAGAATTTTCAATTGGACGTCCAATAATGAAATTATGGTTGATTTTATGGGCAACAATTCCTATACTTCTTATTGCAATCGTAACATGCTTCATTGTATTTCCAACAAAAATTCAATTGATAGAACCAATTGTTGATTTCATTCCAAAATGGGTTCCAATTGTAATTTGTCTAAGCATCATATTACTTTTTGCAATTTATGAAGTCACAAAACAAGTTGATTATAATACATTCAGTATGATTCATGAAGCAACAAAAGCAGCAAAAGATTGGGGTCCTGCAGATCCACTTGTAAGGCACGCATGGAAACAATGGAAAACTGTTTGTGATGATACTGGTCAGCGTGACTTTACATTAAAAAGACGTGGCACAAAAGACTGGACAAGCTCAATTAAAAAGGGACAATATTCACATGCCAAACGAAATGCTTCAAATTGCATTCCAAACCTCAATAATCACAGCAAATATGTTGTAAATAATAATAATAAGACGACACTTCATACTTCGACAGCATCAATGTCAGGTGGATCAAATTCTCCAAATTATAGTGGATCAGTCTTTGGCGATTCAGCTATTGAAGAGGATATAAGTTGTGGAGAAAAATACTCATCAAATGAACGTGATGGAAATTCAAGGAAATCATCGCAAAGTAATCGAGTTAATAGAAATCAGTCGGATGCAAGCCATCATCGACATTATAATCATCATCAAAGAACAATAGTAAATAATGATGATGATCCAATGATTGGAAATTACCAAAAAGTTCCCATAAGAATTTCAGCAGTCAGTGACCATCCACGAATTAAAAGAAATTCTTACTTTCAAGCTCAACCAAATGACGAAATAATCATGTCTGATGAGAATCATTTTAAATCATGTATTGAAATTGTTCCATCAGACTTTTCTGATCTCGCATTTCCACCACCACCTGCTCAATTTCAAGCACAATCTACGTTCATGAAAAATCCACTTTGTCAATTGAGTCACCATAATGAAATCTTTTATGAACCTGAGGATGACGTCGACGAAAGTGATGAAATCAATACATACGAACAACAGCAGCAGCAGCCACAACAACGACAAAAAAATGGACACTTGATTAACAATATTCACATTAATGGCAGCAATACATTTAGTGATGGAAGCATGAGTACCAAAACAACAAAAACATTGTCATCGACAGCAACAAATAACATTCCAAATGACTCATATACCAATAATTGGAGAAAACTTTCGCGAAATGGTGATGAATTCTCCACAGAATTGTAAATCTAAGGAATCAACACCAAAGTGTTTTCTATGAAAATGCAGTAAGTATAATACTTTCACTTTACGTGCTGTGAACATAAATTTTGATTACTTTCTTTACAGAATTTAAGTTCTTCAGGGAGAAAGTAGGAATCTGTTCCAACAAGTTTCATTCGATTGTTAAGTTCGATATTAAGTTTAAGGACATGATCATTTGACTAAACTAGATGAATGAAATCCAAATCGACTTTGGACTCTGAACAAAAATGAGAATCTCAGGATTAACTGCTTAATCTTAGGATTAAAAATTATTGATTAAATTAAATCTTAAGATTAAATTCTTATTACTTTTATCAAAGAATCTTTAATTGATGAAAAGGCTCTTAAATGATAGCTAAATGAGAAGCTTCACAATATTCATCTGCCTAGTTTAGTTAATTAAATTAACCAGCAATATCTCATTAAAATATAAATTGTTTAATAATATTTTTGTACTTATTTTGTCCATTTTCAAATCAGTTCATGTGATATGATGATACATTTCCAGTTTTAAGAATGTACTTACCGCCATACAAAGAAAAGAAAAATCTTTTTGTTATAAGATTTGTTATTTTGCATGTAAAAAGTAAGAAAATTAATAAAAATTAAAGTCTGAACGAAATTGAGGTTTTTTTATTATTTTTGAAAAAATTTCAGCTCTACTTCCTGAAATGAATGTTTGAAGCTGAAAAATCATTAAGATAAGTGAAATACATTAACAGTTATTGTAGATTGATCAACAAATTTTCTTTATTACTACTTTAAATCTTATGTACATGCATTATATAATCTTCTGTTCGTGAAGTACCTGATTTTTTTCTTCTCATTTTTGGAATTAACAATAATCAACTTATTTTTTCATTTATTTACAAAATGGATTGTAGAAATTAATTAAGTACATTTAATTGACTTGCGTTAAGTCTCTTCAATATTTGTTTTCATTCTTTAATGACTAACTTCTTCTTTTTGTGGTCAAAATCATCTCAATTGAATCATTTGAAGTCTTTTTCGTTTTCATTCAACATTTAACATCAAAAGAGTTCGGGAATCACAATTCTGTGGAGAATTCATCACCATTTCGCGAAAGTTTTCTCCAATTATTGGTATATGAGTCATTTGGAATGTTATTTGTTGCTGTCGATGACAATGTTTTTGTTGTTTTGGTACTCATGCTTCCATCACTAAATGTATTGCTGCCATTAATGTGAATATTGTTAATCAAGTGTCCATTTTTTTGTCGTTGTTGTGGCTGCTGCTGCTGTTGTTCGTATGTATTGATTTCATCACTTTCGTCGACGTCATCCTCAGGTTCATAAAAGATTTCATTATGGTGACTCAATTGACAAAGTGGATTTTTCATGAACGTAGATTGTGCTTGAAATTGAGCAGGTGGTGGTGGAAATGCGAGATCAGAAAAGTCTGATGGAACAATCTCAATACATGATTTAAAATGATTCTCATCAGACATGATTATTTCGTCATTTGATTGAGCTTGAAAGTAAGAATTTCTTTTATTTCGTGGATGGTCACTGACTGCTGAAATTCTTATGGGAACTTTTTGGTAATTTCCAATCATTGGATCATCATCATTATTTACTATTGTTCTTTGATGATGATTATAATGTCGATGATGGCTTGCATCCGACTGATTTCTATTAACTCGATTACTTTGCGATGATTTCCTTGAATTTCCATCACGTTCATTTGATGAGTATTTTTCTCCACAACTTATATCCTCTTCAATAGCTGAATCGCCAAAGACTGATCCACTATAATTTGGAGAATTTGATCCACCTGACATTGATGCTGTCGAAGTATGAAGTGTCGTCTTATTATTATTATTTACAACATATTTGCTGTGATTATTGAGGTTTGGAATGCAATTTGAAGCATTTCGTTTGGCATGTGAATATTGTCCCTTTTTAATTGAGCTTGTCCAGTCTTTTGTGCCACGTCTTTTTAATGTAAAGTCACGCTGACCAGTATCATCACAAACAGTTTTCCATTGTTTCCATGCGTGCCTTACAAGTGGATCTGCAGGACCCCAATCTTTTGCTGCTTTTGTTGCTTCATGAATCATACTGAATGTATTATAATCAACTTGTTTTGTGACTTCATAAATTGCAAAAAGTAATATGATGCTTAGACAAATTACAATTGGAACCCATTTTGGAATGAAATCAACAATTGGTTCTATCAATTGAATTTTTGTTGGAAATACAATGAAGCATGTTACGATTGCAATAAGAAGTATAGGAATTGTTGCCCATAAAATCAACCATAATTTCATTATTGGACGTCCAATTGAAAATTCTAGGTCTATTGATAAGTCCTTTATGCCATAAATCCATGTTATTGAAATAATATCAAAGACTAATGCACAAACAATAACTAATCCAGTCCATCTCATGTCGAGATATCTGCTAGGTATAAAGTTTGGACATAGAAGGAATCCAACTGCAAGACATAATGCAGCAAGGCACATAATATAGTTCGGATGACGTTTCAATAGTCTCGATGATGTGTATATTGCAATTGAAATGGAAATAATTCCACTAAAGATGATCATCAAGTAAGCAAGACTAGGAATGACTTTTCTTAAATATGTGCTGTGTGGTTCATTAAATGTACGATCATAGACTGATGTAATTGCTGTAAGATCTGGATAAGGTGGAATATCTTCGATTTTATTGTTTTGTTTATACGGTGTCAAGTAATAAGCAGTTGCAAGCATTGTAGTAAGGAAATTAAAGCACATGTAGACTGTACACATTCGAATTGCATCGCCTTTATACAGAAATTTTCCTGTCATCACTGGAATTGCTCCGATGCCAATTTGTGTTGATAGAATGACTTGAATTAAAGCATAAAACCATGTTGAACTTTGTGCTAGAATGCTATAATTAATTGGCCAAAATTCTGGATCCAATTTATCTGCCTCAATTGTGTTCTTTATTTGCCATCCAAGTTGGAATAATAAAAGTCCCAATGTACCTAATCCAAACATTATTATCGATCGACGATTCACTCGACCACTGTGTGTGCTGTACATGATTAATAATAATTTATTATATAAGGATTGACACTATTCGAATAGTATAACAACTTACCACATCATAATAATGACCCACAAGAAAACTAGTCCAATAGCAAGGAGGCCAAAATTCAAGGAAGATTCTCGAATTGATCGAAGAAATGTTTTTTGTAGACATAATTGTCCAAAAATTCCTCGCTCTGCATAATGTGTACCTGACAACTAAAGAAGAACAATGAAATAAGAAAATGTCTATAGAGAAGGTTTAAGGAAGTGACTTACTTCAACTGTTGAGGGACACTGACGGAATGGCACACCTGAGAATGCAATTTGACCAATGTAAAGTAGTGAAAGTGACATGTGCATTGATATCCAAATACATCCGATCCAAGCACCTATTCGTCCAATAATTGAAGCTCCTTTTAAAAATGGCGACGATTTCCAGCTGTGAGAAGCTCCTTGTCCAAGAAATTGACCTAAAGCCATCTCAAGTAAAACGATTGGCACACCGATGATGAACATTATGATTAAATATGGCACTAAAAATGCAACACCGTGTCGCTCCAATTCGCGTGGAAATCGTACAATATTAGCGTAGGTCAGATTCATACACAGGCACAAGATAGTTCCTCGAAAGATTGAGCATCGTGACTATAAATAGAAGAAGAAATGGAATTAAAATTATTATTAAATGGATATTGACTCAGGTTCAGAAAAGGCAACTTTAAGCACGCAACTTTTGCTTCCCTCACAGACTCTCTAGTTACTTCGTATAGTTGCAAATTGCAATTCTGAGATGAAGTTACTAAAGATTAGCAAAAATTTATAATTATGGCAATAAAACAGAATGGATGGATGATGATGCACAGATTGATAATTTTTGTAGTTCGAAGCATCAAGTTTCACTTTAGGCACATTCTGGATTTCAATGCCTTTTATGCTGCGTAATAATATTTTTATGATTTACATAACTTTGTTTTGTTCATTTATGCGAGCTACAAAAATGGAAATTTAATCTCAGCGGTTAAGAATCAAATTTCAATAAAGCTGTCTTATATGCAGCATAACATTTAAAGTTTTTAAACATTTCTTCAAAAAAACACGGAAGTGATAATAAAAATACAGTTCTAAACTGTGCGTTGTTTAATCCAATAAATACAGAATGTCCATTTGATGCCATTTACATCTTCTTTTTCTAATGGAACAGTGCAAATTGCATTTACGGAATAGAAAGGAACGATTCTAATAAAATTGATGGCTGTAAATAGCAAAGAGTCAAATACAGTTAAAGAATCTAATCTTAACAGGTCTACACACAGCATACAGCAACAACTAGTACGAGGCATCTTATTCTTATGAAATATAAAAGAAGTCTAAATTATGTCATGAGAATCTTCAATTGTGCTGCTTTAATAAAGACTCACAAGACTCGCAAGAGAAAGGAATCTACTAAACATTATTGAATTTCATGAGACATAAACTTACTGCTGCTTGCTTCTTTCTACCTTTCTGAATGAAATTTCTCACATTTTCATAGACACAAAGCTTAGTTCTTGTCTTTAAGAATTGGAATTATTTCTTTTCTTTTTCATTACGCTTTCCATTTTATTATCACATAATCAGACGACCAAGAACAACAGCAGCAACAGCACAAACTTTATGGAATATTGTGATTCCCTTTTGTTTTCAATCAAGCGTTGACAATCTATTAATTTTTAAATATATCATGGTTTAGATACAAATCAGCTTTACTGGATATTCCACAAATTGTCACGCATCCCAAATTCTTTCAAAACAAAACAATAAGGTCCATAAATAATTACCATCCCTTGATTTCTTGATCATTAAGTGAAGAATTGAAAGAATGGAAAGTAAATGAGCAGTTGAGATGTCTTTATAGATTACTGGAATCGCAGCATGTTCTATGTGGACAAAGAAATTGGATGAAATGAAAAAGATGAGCAACAAGAATTAAATTGAAATTGAGATGTTGAGTTTATGGATGTGGAATTTGAATTAAATTGAATTCTTAAGGAAAATAAGTATCGAGCATGCAGCTATGATCATAATCCATTTCTATTCTTCTCATCTTCTTCTTTTTCTTCTTTTGTCCAAGATCTCGTCTAATAAAGCTTGAGATAACGAATTATTTTATTCAATTGTTGCTTGTTGCTGCTGCTATAGACTATTGTCTTCCTACACAATTCTATACTATGCTGTGAGTAATGTAAATAAGATGAGGAATAATGTTGATGACCGTTCTATTTGGGTGATGACGAAAAGATTTAAAAATAATTTTTGGAACGTCTTAAAATAACAAAACGAGTCTCAAGTAGCTGAATACGAAAAATTAAAAGTCAAATGTTATCGACACTAAGACAGACAAAATGGAAGCACTGCCATTTTTGACCAAACAATTATCGTCGTTTTAATTCCGCATCATCAAAAAATGATTTGTTTTTGTATTTTGTAGGTGGACAGTCTTAGCACTTCATTAAGGCTTTAAATCAATTATTAAAGTGAACGAGGTTATTTGACGTTAAGTCACACCTTTTTCAAGTTTATTTGATTCAATGCATGCACAGAAAGTTGTAAAAAAAGTTTCATAAAATGCAAGAAAAGCCTTGAATGATGAAGCAGCACCGAGCGCCAATTTGAAGTACATAAGTGAAATTGAGAATTTATGGAATTTATTGCTGCGATTCTTTGCCTTACTTAAATTATTGTAAAAACTCAATTGCACATCGGAAAGCTATTCAGAAGCTCAATGAGTACAGACATTAAGTAATTCGCGATTTGCAATTTATGATGAATGGCAATCAGTTCAATGATTTAATTTTTTCAGCTGCTGTTCTTTTTTTCACGAGCAATCAAGCAGAAATTTTGGAATGCAGGAAAAGCAAGCAAGAAAAGAAGAAATTGCAGCCAAGGTTAAAAACTGTTCAGCTGCCTTACATCCATAAATTTCCACTGCTTTTGTTTTGACAAATAATTGCGATAATTGCTGTATGAATATTTATGAGAAGTGAACATAAAACAACATAAAATTAGACATGACAAAAGGAAGTGAAATGAGCGTCAAAAATTAATAAAATCATGTTTGGACTCTCCGCAGCGCTCTTTAATTTGCATGTCTTGTGCTTGGACAATGAATGATGCTCGTGAGTGCGACTAGTCATTAAGAATATTTTCGTCTTGAACGTAGCGTGATGATGATTCCAAAATGGGCGGAACAAGGTTCTTTTCTTTTGAGATTCTTAGATTCTCATGTCTTATGTCTCATTATCCACCGCAGGCATTTCTTTTAGGCATTCGATAGCATTAAATACTTTGTTTCTCATTTCTCATCTCTTATCGCTGAAATTTGATGATGAGAATCTTTGCAGGCATTATAAATTATAAGAAACTTCCATCATTACATCATATCTAGAATTAGAGGCACATAATGACTGCGTTGATATTGAATTTAATGTTCACTGACACTTGCTGTATAAACCTTGCAACAAAGAGACGATTGACTTACTTTTTTATAAAATTTGAATTGCTCATCTTCACGTGTGTAGTAGAGGAAATCCAATAAATATTTAGCCGTCGTTGGCTCCAAGATTGAATTTATTCTCGGCGCATTCCGATGATTATTTTTATGGTAGTTCATTATTGTCTTATTCCATCAACTTTTCTTTCATTTCTCTTATCACTTTTATTCTCACAATTTAAATCCACAGCTACAACAGCACAGAATTAAGTGCAACATGGGAATTTCATTCTATCGAATCTATAAATCTTTATTGAATTCCATAAATTCATATTCATGTGTATGCTTGTTGCTTAGTCAATTAATTGTATGCAAACTAATTGAATTATGTGAAGAAAGCATGAAAATCATGTCCGAATGCATTCGCAGCTCTTCTCACAACTCAATGGAAGTTCTGTGAAATTTTGTTGTTCATTAAATTAATAAATCTTTATTGCATCTTCAGCTTCAACTTCAATAATTAGTTGTTCAAGGTTTTTTCAATCTCTAAATTGAAGAAAAGTGCATTGATGCATGCCATGAAGAGGTCTCAAGCATGCAGTTTTTCACTTTTTCTGTGAATTTTCGTCGATCAACGACACTTGTGAAAACCTTCATCATTAAAACTTGTCATGCTCAATTCATAAATTGTTGACAGAAGCACAATTGACAATTGTGATGATTGCAAGCATAACAATTCATTTTTATGAATTTGAACACATTGTAAATAAATTTAATATGAAGCGTAGCGACAAAAATTCGTTCGATTACATTTAGCATTTGAGAAAGGAAAATGAAAACTTTTCAGACATGCTCGACGACAGCAATAACAAAAAAAAAAATTGAAAAGTTTGCAAGCTCAATTTTCGTAAAACAGCACACGATACAAATATCTGCTGTCAATTTTCATTTAATAAGCAATAATCGTTGACGATGAAGAAGTCTGAAGTTGAAGAAATAAAGCAAATAAGCAGATAGTGTGACTTATGATGGAAATCAAAGTTTTATGCTGATGATGGTCGTTGAAGAACCGTTAAATTGTGTAAATAAGAATGTATCCTAAATTAGACATAACATCAGCATGAAGAATCAAAATTTATGATTTGACATTTTTTATATTTTCCGTCCACAAACTTTCTTCTTTGTTTTCCTTCAATCCACTTCAATTTAAGTCGGAAGAATTTCTATAAATGGAATCATTTGAAGCTTAATATTATAGCAGTGTGGCTATTCAAATGCATTTAACATATGAGTGACCAATTTTGAATGACTAACAGTAAATCACAATTGGAACTATGAAAATGACATTAATTTTTATTCCTTCTTCACAAGCAATTCAAGCATTTTGCAATTAATTTAATTTAAATACCATTGAAGTGAGTTCAGTCTAGTATTTGTCATATTGAGTCACATCCAACATTTTCTATCACTTTTCACATGAAGCCGCGAATAATTATTCAAATCCACACCGAATGTCCAAAAAAATTAAAATATAGTAAGACTATAAGCGATCTCGATCATTAAAGCAACAAGTCAAGACTGAATATGTAGTGAGCAAAAAAGTAAACAGTGAAGAAGAATGAGAGAAGTAAAGACAACAGAAATGCAGAATGAGAGAAACTCAATGAATTTAAAAATTATTTCTATGTGTGCAGTTCTCTTGTGAGAGAGTCTTGCGGCATATTGAGGATCTTCTGTTGTTTATTTTGAAATGTGATATTCTGCAGAACATCCACAGCAGCTTAATGATCATTATTTTGGAAATCATAAAGTCAGCAGTTGCAACAATGACCTTCATTATGTGAATAATATAACATTGTACCGGAAGAAGCAGCCACAGATTGTGATGCAATTCAGTAATTTGCTTGTCAATAATTTTTGGCATATCCAAAAAGTTTTCACTTTCAAAAATTGAGATTCAATTGATACAGCTTAAAGGCAAGCAGGTAGAAAATGTTGCACAAAAAGAAATGCCATATGAGTTTGTTGATTGATGCTCATCATTGCTTCCTTTCAGCATTTCACATGAGAATTTTCATTTAAGAAATTCATCCCACGAATGAACACACATCCAGCACACACTCACGTACACAATTTTCAAATGAAATTTAAGTAAATAAGGAGGAAAAGGAAGAACGCAATAAAAATAAAGATTCAAACGCATTCATTTCGTAGCCCCTTGATGAAGCCTCGTCAGGTGGATTGAAATCATGTATGAGAAAAATTCGTTAACATGAAGCAACAAGCAAATGTCATTGTGTCAAATTCGTCAGCTATTCAAGCGTGTTTTATGAATATTTATTATGCAGATTTCATACGAAATATCTTCTTGAGCTTTACAGTTCATTGCATAATCTCGTGTCTTTTACAATTTTAACTAAATTTCACAGTTTAAGTGATAACTACAGACAGTACAGGAAGATCTGCTTTTGTTCTGTTTATTATGCAATAACCTTTATTTCAGGAACATATGCTGCATTTTATGGTAGACACGAGTCATAGATGCATGAAGCTAAGAATATAGTGTGGAATTATTAAGCATGAGTATGAAGAAATTAAGAAAATGTTAATTAAAGTTCTTATTAAGTTCAGTCACTTGAAAATTTATTCACATTATTTTACTTCTCCGTCTTTTGAGACTGACTTTATAAAAATGAGAAATATTGAGTATGCAAGTCGGTTGTGCTTGAAAACCTTACAAATGTTTTTTGTTTCTTTTCATTTGAAGCGTTCATTGTCGACTTTGCTGTTTCTTGCATGTTTCAACTTAATCATGCACAAATAACTTCAATTATAATTTCTTATTTACACATTGAAGTCGAGTTGTGACGTAATTGATAGATAAACTAATTTACACGTAAGATAAAATGAGAGGAATTGCATCAATAGTTTGTAAAATGGTTTCGACAGAAATGATGATAATCCAGTCTTTGCGATAAAGCATATCAAGTCACAGCAAACGAGATGATAAAATATTCACACATAATTTTTATGCGTTTATTTCTATTCGCACTATAGCGACAAATTAAAATTTTTCCGCTTACTCAATCGCCATCAGCATTGCTGACTGTTTAATAATTGATATTCAAGCTTTTTTGCAAATATTAAATAATATCATGTAAAGTTTACTCATGTGACAAACATTTTAAATTTCCGCTTTTGTTTTGTGTCCAACTCGTTTTCATTTTATTGCTGCTGTCATCAAAACTTAACCACAAACTGTTTCATTTCGCTTATAAAAATTAAATTCGTGCCTTTAAACCATCAAGATCATCAACATTAACTCATGCTATGCTCATTTTGTTAACAATTACAATAGAACATCCATAACAATTGACACACGAGTCTTGAGTAACAAAGAACTACAAAAAGGAATACCGACACTGATAATCATAATGATGAAGATTATTGTGACTTATTGTACCTTGCCAACGTTGTTTTAATTTGCATCTGTTAAACTTTGATCACATTCGATTCTCATTTTCTATTTTTTAGTTCCATCATTCGCCATTAATTCTATTTTTGTTCAATTTATTCAGATTCTAAACAAAGTATTTGCCATAGCTAAGCACAATTGCGTTAGAAAAAAATGCTCAGAAGCGTAGACAATGGGTGTTTAAATTGATGCTTAAGCATGCATTTCTAAAGGTGTTTCAGATGACATAATAGCTGCTTAAAAAATAATATTGTCTTCAATTGTCTTTTAAGGTTCCCAAGGTTCAGTAATGCACACACACACACACTATTTCAATTTTATGGGCTTGGATGTTCAATTCAGATCAGCACAAATCCCACAAGATGTGAATCAGCAAATTACTGCCATCCTTCACAGAGAGCTTCTCCTCAAAACTTTTTCGTCTAACAAAAAATTAACATCTTATTTTGCATTTAATTAATACAAGCTGTCAATTGTCGTAGTCAAAATGTGAAACAATTGCTGAAAACAATCTTGAACTGAATTTGACACAATTTTTGTTCCATTTCGTTTTTATAGCCTGTACAAGCACATTAAAATATTGTTGCAATAAGTACAATGGAACTGAATTATGAGAAATTTTATAAAAAATTCAAATTTCTGACGAAAATGACACCAAAGTTGGACGAGCATTGAACTCGAGTTTTTGGGATGTCAGACAGAGGTACTTAAGAGGATATCAAATTGAGTGATGGGATATTAATAATGAAATATTTTTGCAGCATAATAAATGAAGTGCTGACTCAAGTGATTAATCTAGTAAGCACTAAGACTCATTTAATGAGATTTACATTCAGAACATTATTGAATATTTAATTCCTCTTATCACCTTGTACAGTCAATTTCATTGTCAATGTCAGAATTATTCATTTTATATACATTAAAAAAATTGAGTTAATGTGTGACAATTTGTATTGAAAATAATCATAAGTAAAGTATGTAGCAGCACGTTTGTGAGCACAAACAATTGAATTTTATTTTCTACTCTTGATGTTTTGGATATTTTCGTTGTTTCAAGTCTAACGCGCGTGAAATTGATTTTACTCCACAAAGAAAAACTTGCGTTAAGTTTTCATTCGAGAACAAACACAAAAATTCGATTGGTGTTCTGTAATTTGATAAGAATTCTAAGGTTTACAATTTCCAATTCAATTCATTCATACGATCACTCAGATATTTAAAATTGAGGAAACCGCAAGCATGCAAGCATGTTGAAATGAAATCATGATGAATCAAGCACGTAAAGTTTCTCGAGCCGTAAATTGAAGTGATTGAATGAGTTGGATATCAAACAAATTATTCTAATTTCTGATTTTGGCATCATTATGTGCGATAATGAATTGGGAATGTGCTGTGTTAGGTAAATGAATAAAACGAATAGAACGTTACAATAACTGTTAGCAGCATGAGTAAAATTGGTCAGAAATAAGTAGCCAACACTCTCAATTATAGAGTAACAGATGATTCATAAAAAAACAATCAATTCTATATTATTTTCACAATCTCACACTTCTTCATGTTCCTCAAACTTTAAATTCATTTCTCGTGTTAGTTTTCATTCTCTTTCAAATTTTTCTTATTTCTTGACAAGTCAAATAATTCAAAATTTAATAAAATAAAATAAAGACGAAATTAGCATTCAAGTTTAAATCTTTTTTTGATGTCATGGAAATTTCATCGATGAAAATGTTCTTAACTCATATTTCATTTCCATCGAAGGTAATAACACAGACAAATTCATTAAATTGAGTGCTCTTCATCCTTCTCACATTACCGATTTTTCATTCATATTTTTTGTTGAATCCTCAAAACGATACAAAAAAGAGTGAATTTAATGATTTTTCCGTTCATTAGAATTTTCAAAGGAAAATGGAACTTTAATAACTTTAATGTTTCTTTTCATTCTGCTGCAATGCATGTTCTATTGATCAAACAAAGAAAAGCAGAAGGAACAATGAGGAAAATAAATTTGCAATGCATGCAACCTCGACAAAATAAAAACTTTAGGGTGCTGTCCTTGAAAAGAAGGAATTATTTTCAGTTCTGAACCCAAAAAAAAGTTACAATTTGGAACTTTAAGTTCGTTGTGGAAATGGAAACAAATTGAAAAAGTTAAATATTAAAATTTATTGACTATTCATGCATGAGCTGCTGTATTCATGTGTATGACCGAAATAATTTGATGTCAAATAAATGAAATGAATACAATTTGTGCTTTACCATTATTTCCAATCGAGACAAGTTCCGTTCATTTCATTTTATTTGATTTCTAATAGAGCACTCATCATCAAATAAATCACATGCAGAGGAAAATTGGAGTGGCATTAATAGTGAGTCTTGTTGAGAAAACATCTCGTTTCTTATTTATTTATTTTTGAGTCACAACTAAAAAGCGATTAGCAAGTTGTTTTTTTTTTTGTAGTTATGACATCAAACAGAGCTTACCATTCAATCGTAAAGTCACAAAGTGAAGTAAAATGAGAGAGCAGCAACGGCTATGAATATGAATATATTCCGCTAAAATGATGACGCAATTTGAGCATGTAGAAAATGTTTTGCTGATGACTTTGTTATTTACTTTTTTTTGCAGACGATAGAAACAGGTTGTAAATTGAAATTCCCAACGTGAATAGTCTTCAATGTTATTTATCCTCGTATCCAAAATTAATATTCAGTCGTTCTTGATAGTACAAAGTTGAATTTGACATATTGAAAGGCATAAAAGGCACTTTGAATGGTAAATAGACGGAAAGAAATAACAATTAAAGGTTAATTTCAGGCATTTCCGTATGAAAATTTTCCATTTTGTCCATAAAATCGTAATTACTGACTTTTCATGATAATTTTGCAATCAGATAATAAAAATTACAAGCCAGAATGTTCTGTACACGAATATTAATTGAAAAGAAATAAAAAAACGTGAGGAATTAAAATTTTGTGTGTATTGTGTGCTGTTGATAATTTTATTGCTGTTTTGTTGCCGTACAACCGATTATTATTTAAATGTTTTCATCAGGTAATGATGTTTAAAGGAATTTTAACGTTGAATGGAATTCATCGATGGTCACATCATCAAGCACAAAATAAATAAATGTAATCTTTTAAGCGGAATCATAAGGATGAGTCAGAATGTGAGCAATTCAACATGATCTTTAATTATCATAAATTAACACAAAATTAAAATTGATTGATGATAAATCAATACAGGAAAGATTTCATATTCGATGATTTTGCACAAAAATCCAATTTCTGAAATATTTTTCCTGTCGATAAATGCGAAAATTGGATTTCCTGTCATGAGTCGAGCGATGAAAAATAAAAAAATTCTGATGAATAAGGGCGATAAGATCTGAACGTTGCTAATTTGAAAGCAATTATGGCA